CTCTCTCTCTCTCTCTCTCTCTCTCTCTGTGCAACCCTGTAGTGTCCTATTTTTACCCTATAAGATAAAGACAACAACTTCAAAAGGAAATAATAATTTTCTCTGAGAGAAAAATAATCAGGGTGTTATTATAGTACCATGGCGGTGATAGAAACCTCATCAGTGCCTTTCACCCCTGGCAGGGTATAGGCCACATACAAGCTACTTCTATTTATATCTGTCCTGGGCCATCCTTCCTAGCTCGTTCAAAGTGAGCTTCATCTCTCTCATGTCCCTTTCCACACATCTCCTCCTTGTTTCTCGTGGTCTACCCCTGCCTCGTGCTCCCTGTTGGTTTCATTGCCAATGACTGTCTTGCGATGTTTCCGCTGGGCTTTCTGAAGGTGTGTCCCATCCAATACCACTTTCTTAGTCCTATTTCTACTTCTATATATCCTTTTGTCCTGTCCTTTCCCATAGCTCTTCATTTCTTATTCTATCCTGCCACTTAATTCTTAGGATACTCCTCATACATCTGTTGATAGAAACCTGCTACCTGTATATTATTGTGTCGGCCCATAATATTTCAAGAGAGCGTCTTAAATATGACGTCAATGACACTTGTCGTGCTATTCCTGTAAAATACATTAATGGGGGGAAAGTTTCAGCAGAATTTTATGGCATATTTTCTTTTTGTACTTATTAAAGTGTAAACAGTTTCAGTGAAACTACTTATGCTATAATACAAGTACAATATGTTTATCTTGCTCAGAATGATAATGTGATCACCCTTTTCATTGTACTTGTATATCCCATTTGCAGTAAAGAATGAACTGCAGTTAAAAATGTAGGCTAAAGTGAGGTCGTATGGAAGTAGAACTCTCAAAATAAGCTTTGTATGGTTGCGTCTCATTTCTTCTTTTTTTTCTGAGGGACAAAATAAGTAAAGGGATAGGTATCATAATGTTTGTGCTCGATAGATTTAACCAAAAAACCCTCACAAAAAAAACATTCTAAATATCTTTAAAATTAAGGCTACCCCCACCCTCACACACAAAACCCTCCATTTTCTACGTAATGATATAAGCAAACTTGAACCCTGAATTCCACAGACATAAATCCGTTTCTTCCACAGGCTGCACTCTTTAAAGACAATTTCAGGGAGCTCTCGCGGTCTGGGGGTACGGTGTTCGTCTCTCATTCCATCGGTTCAGGGTTCGAAACGTGACAGCGACGGAAAATTTTCTTCTTTAAAATTTCATCATTTCACCGCCTTTCCTGCTCTCTAACCCTGTTCTGTAGTCTGCTTTCGCCTCCACTTTCTGCCCCCA